GATATATATTTTTTAATTTTATTATATACTAATAATAATATTTACTGAATGGTGTGCTGCTACCTTTTAAGCAACTTAATCAAAACAGAAATGAAGTAGATATATTTCTCAGGTCTATAGAAGAATTCAGAATACATAGCCTATGCGACGAAAGAGCTATTTATATAAAGTATAACTCTCACAAATAAAACTGAAGGCGATATTTGATTTATTTAAGGTCTCGACATGAGAGATTTTAATGTCTTAAGAGTAACGGCCCCTTAGTCTTCTCCCATTTCAGATACAAGCACAACTTGCATATCTTTAGGCTGCGGTAGAAAACCTATTTATATATATTTTAGAAAAAAATTGTATTTTTTACTGATATCAAAACAAAAAAAAAATGGAAATTTTTACATCAATTTAATATAATTTTGTTACTAGAAACCAAAAGCTCCAAAAATTTAGTTTTAGTAAATTATTTTAATCTTGTTTCAAATAGTTTTCATGCTGCACTAACAAAGAGATGAAACAATAACTGAAAGAGCAGATCGATTGGGTGAACGCCTAATTTTATTTTGTAATTTGTAAAAATAATTTGTAACTAGTTCCAAAAACATAACAACTTAAGTTATTTGCTTGAATATGAGGGATCCTCATCCAACCCGGATCAGGCATAAGAAATCACTATTTATATCTCTATGCATACTTTGTGGGATTTGGCAATTGCTGGAATTGCTGTTTTCAATAGGGTCGTTGTATGCGATGTAGCTGGGAATACGTGTCTTTATACTTTTCAAATTAGTATTAAAGTTGTGGGACACGCCCAATGGATGCAGCTCAAGTCGAATATGGTGTTCGGTATTTCTGATTGTAAGCCTGTAGGGGCTTTATGGCATTAGAAATATTAATTTGCAAATATAATTAATAAATATTAGTTTATGTGTACAGAGATCAGATATAGTCAGTTCTTTAGTCACTTTTACAGAATTGACCTAATTTGTAGAGCAGAGCATTTTGCAGTCGATAATAGACGATATACTTTTATTGGAGTTGAATAATGCTCTTATTTGCACTGTTAACAGAGTTTCTATATTTTCARCTATTCAAATCCACACACACACGCACGCACGCACACATTTACACACCTTGTGATATGCAGCATAGAATGGGCAATAACAACAAAATAGCTGACGACCTAATCGGGCGATGGCACATTTTCGCACAGCACTTTTCTCCGCTTTTCACCAGCTCAACAAATTGCACACAACACAATTTTCTGAAGCTTTACTTTTGCTTTTTGAGACAAATTCTCGATTTTATTTAATTTATTTTATATTATTCCTTTTTATATATATTTTTTTTCCGCACTTATTTTGAGAGACGCGTTGAGCAGAGTTCCTCTGGCGCTAGCGTTGGCCAATCGCAAACTGTTCGACGAATTTTGAATTGTGGCTGTTGCTGGCGTTGGCTCCAAAGGACAAAACGGAGACGTCATCGGCAAAATACACGAGCCCCCAAGCCGAAGTCACAGCGACACACGAACGTTGAGGCATGCGGGGTGCGGCACGGCTTGAACCAGTGTTGACAAAATTGCACAGATTTCCCTCTAAAATTTAGCGATTTACATTAGATTAGATCGCTTGTTAATAAATATGTAAGTGGTTTAAAAAAAAAAAAAAAAAACATTAATTATCATATCAAATGTAATAATTATTATATAAGCCGAAACATTTTTTTGTTTCAAATTTACTAAGCTTTTGTCGAAATTTTTAATATTTCAAAACCAGTTCAGTTTCCATAAAATTGAAGAAAATGTTCAAGAGACTATAGAAAAATTTTATTAAGAAATTTTATTTAAAGCAAAATTTATTTAACAATTATCTTGAGCACAGCGCTCAGTGCTCGTGCTTTTGCATGCGGTTGTATGAGTGAGTATGTATGTTTGGGTGACATCACCTAGTCGCCCACTTCTGAATATCCTGATTATTTTTAGCTCTTTTTTCTTAGCCAGAAACTCGCTACATTATGCTGGTTGCTCTGATTTGGACTATGTGCCTCTTGCGGTTCTCCAACTCCATTGTCCTTGTACGCTGCGTGGGTGCGTCGGCTCGCAGCGCTCGAGTGGCTCTGACAGTAATAACCTCTTGGCTCCCACATGGCTGCGAGCCACAAAGAAGGTTATTCAAATTCCATAAAACGTAGCCACATGCAGCCTCTAAGTCGCCCCCTTCCTCACGCTGCGAAAACTGTTGCAGTACATATACTTTTTGCATACATGTCTCTCTATCGGTGCTTAGGACTTATCAATCCAGCCACCTCTATAAAATGATGTATGCATAGAAGAGCTTAAAGGACAGGCACAGAAGCCGCAATTAGTTGGCGCCCCAGAGCGAAAACTCATCCGGTTCGTGGAGTCGTTTCGCCCGTTCCGCTTCTCAGCCTCGATGTTAGCCTTGGCGTGGGCGTTTATTTATCGCATTCAACATCCTTTCTGAGTCCTCAGACAGTGCAACTGGCAAGCATTTCAAATTTATTATAAACAATGTAGCGCCTGATTGGTGTAGGTCACGGCCCTGTCCCACTAGAAAATATTTAGTAAAACGACTTGTAATATGAAATATTTAATAACTTATTTAATACTGTTTCGCATTTCAAATATTTTTAAGTCTAAAATTTCATTTTGCTCTATATATATATTTATATACATATATATTTTTTTCCGATATGCCAATTAGAGAATTCGGGAATACTCATTTCCAGACCAAAAATTTTATTTTATTTTTATATCTATCTTGAATACATACATTACTTTTTGGAAGTTCAACAAAATCGAAATACCCTTCTTCGAGAGAGTATCAAATAAATTTTAGCGCCAAGTGTTAGCTAATGGGGTCCTTTGTTTTCAATGTGTAAAGAAAAAGCATGAAGAGCTCAGAGAACTATTTGTTAGAAGATCTGCTTGACCTCGTAGAAATACCACCAGCGGGTCTTTAATAGTCTTTTGATGAAAGAAAACGCAATTTTTACGGGAAAATTTAAAAGTAGAATTAATGCTAATATCAATTGAACATATACTTAAATTAGAATTTTTAAATTAAAAAGCTTACATTTAAATTGAATCCTATATATGAATAACTCTGAGCTCTTAGTTATGTAGAGGACGAAAAAGCTAGCAATTCTGCAAACGGTATGAGAATGGAGGTCAACATTAAATCAAAGCTCGCCAAATTTGGCGTCTGTTGCGTGACAAGGTCGAATTTTCAACTGAAATGGACGCGATTGCGTCCAGTTGCCAATTGTCGGTGACGTCGACGTTGATGTCATAATTTCTTTTTTTTTTTCCTTCTTTATTTGCTTTGTCTTTTATTTTTATTTTTTTTTTTTTTACGTTGCATGCTTTTTGGGCACATAATTAAACATGTTTACGCACGTTTCCCACTCCGTACCCATTTCTCTTTCCGTTTTGTCCAAAGGTCAGCCAAACCCCTGGCCATAAATTATGTTTTCGATTTTTACAACTTGACACTTTTACGCACATAACACGGCCAGCATCGCCTCACCTCATTTCCTTCTAGTACCACCCATTGATCAGTGAAAATATAGCACAGCAATGCCGGAACGCTGCGAGCACGCAACTGAAAAGTTCAAATTCTTATCTCAAGCACTGTTATATGATGCTTTTTACACCATGAACCCATTGAAAATGGGAAATCAGGGTATAATGATTTTATGAAACGTATGTACCAGGCAGAAGAAAGCATCGCAGACCCAATAAAGTAAATATATTCTTGATCAGGGCGACGGATGAGTGGATATAGCCCTCTACGTCAAACCGTCCGTCCGTCTGTCTGAGATCTCAGATATAAGAGTTATAGACTTGCAATTCTGCATGCATACTCGTGAATACCATACACAGCATCATATTTTTTTTCGATAGCTCATCCGATTTCTTTTTATCGAGAATAATCGGCAAATTTATTCCGCTTATCTGCCTAGTTTGACTACTATTAGACCTAGAGACTTCAGATTCACTGCGTATATAAATTTAATGAATACACAAATTTTGTAATTTACAGATTTAGAATATTATTCGAGCCCAACATTTAAACAATGTGAACACGTTGTAACCGTTTCTTGAAGAAACAAATTCTCATCGTATTGCCCACACTGCAGCACAGCCCAAGCGCAGTCGCTTATAAGGCGTGTGGATGTATGTGTGCACGTTTTTTTTTTATGTGTGCAGAAAAGAAGTGCTGAATGATAAGAATATCAACTTGCAGGGTTTAGGGTATCTTCTAATCGAGCAGTCTCGACTAATGCATACTTAATTATGCTTGCTCTTACTTGTTCCATACTCTATCAGTCTTTTGTTTCTCTCTCTCTCTCTCTAACAAAACAGACTGTAACTGTAACAGAAAAAAATTAAATTAAATATTAAAATATACTCAAATCGACTTATATGCATGAGGATTTGTATAGTATGGAAAAATTTGTTTTCGATTCTCCAGATCAGTAAACTCACTAACCATATGGTGTGTTTTATAGTTAATAGTAGTGACACTCCAATATGACCATCGATGTGACTACACTGTATATATCGATACAATACTCAATACAATACGATAGTTATCGACTATTCTGATTGGCAATACAGCTTTTATACTGACCCCTTATTACGCTTATCTCCAGTTTGCTGATTATTTTTTTGACTCACAGCTCTTGCCAATTATTAGTTGAGGTCGTTTTCTTGTAAGCAGTAAAAGCATGGCTGCAATAATAAATCATAAGTATATACAAGGCAAGAAAGAGGTACAAGCTCTACAGTTAATAATTATATAAATACATATATACATATGCCGTTTTATTCATTGTAGCTACTAGGCACGGGAAGCTATGGGGAGGTGTACACTGCGGAATTGAAAGTGGCCATAAAGCAACTCAGGTTTTCAGAGGCAGAGATAAATAAATCATTTGAAGCGGAGGCCACGAACTTACTTCGCGCTCAACATCCGAATATTATAAGATTATACGGAATTTCAGGAAAACACACACTGGTCATGGAATATGCAGATAATAATCCTCTCGATAAGTACATACATAACAAGGACAGCAAAATTACAAACTCACATCGTCAAAATCTAATGCTTCAGTGCGCCGAGGTTTGTGCTCTCCAGTTATTAATGATTAATGATAACCAAAGTTTTTTATAACAGGGAGTCGCTTATCTTCATAGTCTGACACCGTTGATACTTCACCGCGACCTGAAACCCGCAAATATTTTACTTACAAATAATTACTGTACGCTAAAGATTTGTGATTTCGGAACGGCACGAGAAATAGGTACAGAAATGACAGCCGAAAAAGGAACTCCCGCATATAGGGCACCAGAAGTATGTATATCGATTTTTAAATGGAATTTGAATTTTTTGCACGTTCATACAAAAACACAAGCGATTATTCCTAGTTATCCGTGTCTCTCTGCGATTAGGTATAAACGGTCTGATCATTGATCATTTCAAAATTGTTTACATTTAATATTTATGCATTTATCTGTTTCGGTCTATTATAACTATACAGATCAACCAAACCATGAAATACACTGAAAAATGCGATGTCTATAGCTTTGCCCTTATACTCTGGGAAGTAATGTCTGGGAAAAAACCCTTTGCTGACCAAATCGAAGAATTGATTGCGATTCCATACCAAACGTCTGTTAAAAATCTTCGACCAAATTTGGACGATGTGAAATTATGTGAGAATACAGAAATTATGAAAGATCTAATTGAACAAGGCTGGGATAAAAAGCCATATATGCGTCCGTCAATGAAAATGTTTGCCTTATTACTTAGCCTTGATCATTCCTCGATGAAATACCTACTAAAACCTTCTAGCGAGGATTACAAAGACGCTACAAAATCATATTAAATTTACTGGTACTTATATACGACCGAGATTATGGATACTCTGATTGAGCAGTTCAAGACTCAAATAAGCGGCAGTCAATGGAAATACAGTGGAGTCCGGTTATAAGATGCTCAAGGGGCTGACGATTTTACATTTTTATACCCGGAGTATGCTTAAACCGGACGGAGCAAAAAATTTTCATAATATGTTTTAAAATAAAATAAATTTTTTATTAATACAAAAGAATTGCAAAAGTTAATTTAATAATATGGAAAGTCGGTATTGCCCTTCATCTCTCTATCTCTMWCTCATCTGTCACTGTCACGCGCACAAGTAAACGTATTGAATTTATATATATATATATACAGTCTAAAGTCAAAGAATGTTGTGTTACCTTTTAGCTGAACTAATTTAGGCTTTGATGAACGTAATACAATAATACAAAACAATATTAATATAGATAGAATAAAATATATATCAAGTTAAAATGAAAACAATGACATTGATCTTACCATTCAATGGATTAATCATTTTGATATTAAAGTGATATTCATCGTCTCCTTGCCAAAACATCAGCGGGTATTGTAACGCCCAGTATTGCGTCGTGTAAGCACAATATATACATATATAATTTCCGCCCCAAATGAAATCATTTGGAAACAGGCTAGTAGGGAACGCAATGGCCCTGGTGGCGGGACCACTAATGCCAATGTCACTTTACCACTAAAACAGCACAAACCGGGCGTTTCGCCAGCCAACTTCAATGTGCCACAATGCTGGCAAACAACGTCCATTGGACCAATGCAAACCAAACGATGTAAGGTGTAGTCGATGGTGCAATCATATCGAAACGCTGCTCGATTGAAATCATTACTTAAACTATTTCTTCTTGCACTTCGAATGAAGAGTTGACGGCAATGTTTGCAAAAGTTCTATTCTAACGATACATCGATATTAGAGGTGCCAAACTATCGATGGCACTATCGTGGAGGACAAAAGTAATTTGACAACACATTGCAAAAACTCTAACCGCTTATTTCTGCGTGCTAAGAGAGGTAACGGTTATATTTTTTAGAGAGAACAAACATAAAAAGTCATAAGTGACCAAAATATTGCAGTTATAACTCATAATTTTTTTTTATAATTATTTGCATGGCGGATTATCATTTTATTTATTATATAAAAGTATTTTGACATTCCTTTTCAAATTCATTTTCGGTAATTCGCTTGTATTAAAAAATACGTATTTTTATTTTTTAAAATTATTTTTGGTGTTCTCTTTAATAATAGCCATTATTTGATCATAGTTATTGGTAAATTATAGGCAAACAACGTGATTAAGTGAAATCTTTAAAAAATCAATCGGTCACGAAGAATAATGCAGGTATTTCCGTGTCAGCACGCAGAAATAATCGGTTTGAGTTTCTGCAATATGTTGTCAAAATACTTTTGTCCTCCATTGTACATATTTAACAGAACGCAACAATCGCGTGTGATTACCTATACATACGCAAAAGACAAGTCATTTAACTCAAACAAACGATCGGTGCTTGACTTGAGCGAAATGGAAACTGAAAAAACTGTCTCGCTCAGAGCGCGAGCGAGCTAAACCATAAGCGACAAAAGCAATTTCTGTCTGAGGCGTTTTTATTGTGTGAGTGAAAGACACTTATTTGCAGACAACAAAAATCGATCACTACAACAAAAAACATAACTTAAAAGTTTTTAGGTTTTAGCTATTTAGTCAATTCAACTTTTATCTTAAAATGTAATTTCACAAAATTGAAGTGTTCACATAAATTCAAATTTTTAAGGCTAAGAATCACTCTTTTTTATTGCGACTATCGACCGCTATCGATGGTTTCGAAATTACTATCGTCCTCAATCGATGGGGTCCACCATCGATAGTTTGGCACCTCTAATCGATATGTTTAACTATTGCAACTCAATAATTTGATCGCTTATTCGGCTTCTTATTAGTCATCTTTTACATTTCGAGAATGAATGATCTAATTGAGTGGAATAACTTAATAGTTTTAGAAGTATTTCAATATATTATACAATCAAATGTGTATATAATAATTTTACTTTAACTTTACTAAATTATAAACATTCTAGATAATTGACAAAGGCTTCTTTGGTGTGAGCAAGGAGGCAAGGTTGAAAGATTCTTCTAGCAAGAAAGTCATAAGATTTATTAAAATTGAAGATACACAATCAGACGAATTTGAAGCTGAAATCAATACTTTTATAAAAATTAAACATGACAATGTTTTATCAGTCAACATGGTTAAGAGTCCCTACCAGAATATTATGGTTATGGACTTCTCAGAATTTGGCTCACTCTATAAAATTCTACATGTAAATAAAGATCTAATTTCCGATCTACTCCTACTAAACTGGGCACAACAGTTATTACTGGTATGTTCTATGTGTTGTTGCTTTCAGTTTATGGTACAGTTAATTAATCAAATCATTCACAATCTAGGGTATTCGGGCTTTACATGATAAGAATATTGTTCATGGCAATTTAGGTACTCGCAATTTATTTCTCTTCGACGACAATATGGTATTGAAGATATGTTTGGATCCAACTAAAACGTGTGGAGCACCCATTTCCGCTTATACGGCACCTGAAGTTTGTATATCTCTCAAATTACATCATACACTTATCATATCTAAGATCATAAATTTTTAGATTCTTAAATATGGACGACGCACAACCAGGAGCGATGTGTACAGTTTTGGAATCATTCTTTGGGAATTGCTATCAAGGAAGAAACCCTTTAATGATACAACAGACCAAATCCTCGCATCTATGATCTTAAGCGGTGAGAGAGAGAGAGCTAACCAAAATTCAATCAATTAACTTCTTTAACTAATTTACGTATGTTAATTTTAAAGGTGAACGGCCCGATCTGGAGGAAATGAAAAGTTATCGATATATTGAAATATTGCGAAGTGTGATCAAGCAATGTTGGAATGAAGATCCAAACAAACGGCCCGCAGTGAACACTTTGAATCTTATATTCAAATACGATTATGACGAAATTAAAAGATTAGAGCGTATTTAAAAAAATGGAGTCGAAGTAAAATAAAACCCGGAAGTATAACGCAAAGGAAATATAGAGACTATATGTAATTTGGACTATATATTATAATAACTTGCTATTTTTATAACCTTATATGGCTTATCATCTCATCRTCATCATCTGATTATAGAGTATGCCGGAAATGGAACTTTCTAAACGTTCACCAAACAATTTTTAATTTTTGTCAAAGCCTGTGCTCACCAGCTATTAATAATTAGATACCAGGAAACGAATCTGAGAACTCAAAATCAGCTGGTTTACGCTAAAAATTTGTGACTCTCGGCTATGGGGTATAAACGGTCTGAAACTATTTATAAAACAGCTCATTTCGGCTATTTTCGAATATTTGATCAATTTACAAAAGGTCGTTAAATTCAAGGTCCAGTTGTTCTGATCACACATTATTTCGCTTGTAGAGCTATGGTCAATTTTTACTACACAGGCTAATAGCATTATCTCGTATACGGAAAAATGCGATGTCAATAGCTATGCTATTGTATTCTGGTAAGTAATGTTTGCGATACCATATTTAACTGTCATTAAAAGTAAGGAAAACTATGAAAAGGGCTATGAAATCATATCATATATTAGTTTAGTGAAATGTCCGTTTTGTTGCCCGCTCGTATAAATGTAAAGCAATTGAGACAATAAAGACTTCCAAATTTCAAGTCTATATATTCGCGGGTGGCCTCACATATAGAAATATCAAGATATTTTAAATACGTCCACTAAGTTGAATGCATAACGTAATATAAATATAAATCCAATAAACCTAAGTTCCACAGCTCGAAAGCCAGGTTACCAAAAAAAAGTACTGTTAAATTCCAATATACAGTCAAGTCTCTATAATTTGTACGCTGCTAAATCAAAAATCGCGTTAAGTTCAAAATATTTTAAATCCTTCGTTCTCGATAATTTGAATTTGTGTGTAAATAGAGATTTGATATTTAAAATATATACTATAGTTGACAAGCCAATATAAAAAATACAGCGAATATATCAACAACGAGAAGAATTCTTTTAAGTCAGAATCTTTTATGAGCACAGTGATAAACGAAACTGTACGTACAAATATAGATATGTATACATACGTAAAAATCGCTCGCAGTTGGATAAAGGCTGTTCAGCTGTTCAGATTAGATTTCTGCCATTCTTATAAGAAATTACGAATTATCAATCAATGGTCATTCATTTTTATTTCAACATTGCTACAATCATGTTATTGTGAGCATTTCAAACATGGCTGCTATATTAAACGCAAATAATATAGAACAAGAAGATGAGGTAATAGTTCTAAAGTTAAAGAAATCAGTCCTGTCTCATTCCGCTATATATGTACATATACATGTACATATATAATTGAGATTCAATTATATATAAACTACATATGCTTTGGCTCTTATCTTGATGTTGAATCAATTTTTATGAAGGCAAAATCTATAAGCAAACATTTCAAACTTTATTTGTAGATACTAGGCGGCGGATCCCAAGGTAATGTCTACCCTGCAAACTTGAAAGTGGCTATAAAGCAACTCAGGTCTTCAGAGGCAGAGATAAATAAATCATTTGAAGCGGAGGACACGAACTTACTTCGCGCTCAACATCCGAATATTATAAGATTATACGGCATTTCAAGAGAAATATGTACTAATCAAACAGTTTACAGACTAATCATGGAATATACTCATAATGGAACTCTTCATTATTACATCCAAGAAAAAAAAAAAGGAGACGATTTAGCCCGTCTCCAGTTATTAATGATTAGATAACCAAAGTTTTCTATAACTACTACTGATTACTGACTCTATAACTACTACTGACTACTGACTACTGTCGCTAAAGATTTGTGATTTCGGAACGGCACGAGAACTAGGCACATATTGACTTTCTTGCTTAGCCTTGATCATTCCGCTATTAAAAATCTAGAAGAGTCTGATCATAGGGATGATCCAAGAATTAATGACCAGAACTGAATAATGAAATTTTTAGTTACGTTACTCCTATTAAAAATTGATAAACAATTAGATGATCTCGCCTTTTGATAGGCATATGATCGATAGCTGAATCGATTTATTTGTGAATCATCATCAGTGGCTCAGTTGATAAAGCGATTTTTAAAACGAAACTATTAAATTTGTTTCAAAGACCCCCATAGATGATATGCGTTAGATGTCTCATAGCAAGCCATATTCCGTATTAGATACATACAACACCATACACATGGTATGTATGGTTAGTATCACTAACCACAGAACACATAGACCGAACACGTGGTGTAAAGCGTTTTGCACACTTTTTTTTCGAGCGTTGCGTCCCAGTTACTTGTTTTACTTTAACTTTACTAAACTATAAACATTCTAGAAAATTAAGGATCGCCTCTATGGTGTGTGCGATGTGACAATGCTTGATCCTGAGCAAATGTTATATTTATTATTCGAGCTTTCGTTTAGTCCGCCTTTAGACTGCTCAAAACATGTTTCACTTTATAATATTATACATGGAAATAAACATCTATATTTTTCCGATGAACTGCTACTAAGCTGGATGCAACAGTTAGTACTGGTATGTTTGATGTTTTGTTGCTTTGAATTTTTGATCGAACCCATTTCCATATTTGGATCCATATAGGTGAGAGGGCGAAAATAAATGAATCAATTAGCTTGTTTAGCCACAATAATTTACCATATGTTAATTTTAAAGTCAAGCGACCCAATCTGAATGAAATGAAACAACATAAATTTAATGAAATAATGCGAGTTGTGATCGAACTTTGTTGGAATGAAGATCCAAACAGACGTCCCACACTGACGGATTAAAATTTTTTTTTTAAATACGATTATAGGCATGCTGAAAAGCTAAAGTCAAGAACAGTCTAGAATGATTTAAAAGAACATCCAACTAAATATTTTTTAATACAAACTTTAAAAGATTGCTTACCTACTAATTATAATATTCAACAGTAAATCACAAATAAGTTTTAAAAAATATATATAATCGCGTGAGTGGTGCAAGATACAAAATTATTGGCTTAACAAATCGGGTAAAACTTTATAAGCCGTAGAGGTTTCTCCATGGGTGAAGCATTTCAAAAAGTATCCTGCAATTTCTAGCGTTTTGAAGCGTTGCGTTAGCCTCGATTCCACTAGTCTCGGCATTGGCGAAAAAAAAAAAAAAACAAATTTTTGGCTACTCTATAAATGTATACAATATATTGTATATATACATGTATATGTTTTTGTGGAATTGTGTACAGCCAGAGCAGAGCCTGAATGACAATATTTGTTGACTCAAAGCTCAATGTCCCGGGAAGCAATAGCAGAACCAAGAAACGGAGAGCGCTTTGCTTACGCACCCTTAAAATTCAACCACAAGAAATTAAAGAGTAACAACAACAACAAWGTGGAGAAGACAAATTATTGGCTTGTCTCTCGCATAGAATTCAAAATCAATTTTTTTTATTTTGGCGCCAAAGAGTCCACGAAAATAAATGAAAGACTCGCTGAATGAAAGTTGATGTGTGTGTGGTAGAGTGAGATGAAGGATTTAGGGTGTGGTGGTGGGTGGTTAGCAAAACGGAAGCTACAGATGCTCTAGATTTGGACGAAGGCGCCAAACTGGCGGCAAAGAACACACACGCAGTCAAATCCCCCATCCCAACAGTTCCATTCACAATCATATTCACAATCACATTCACAAACAGTTGAGCTGGCGGCAAAGGCAGTAGTAAAACGAATATAGCTTACTTGGCGAGCTACACGTACAGTGAAATTTGGCCAAGATGCACCCACCATTTGACACATACATACATATWAAGAAGTCAAATGGAGTAATGGTTGGCAGTTGTATTGGCACAACTGGTATTCTTATATATAGATATAAATTTATATACATAAATCTATCCAGCGGTTGGCCATCATTTTATTGACTTACGTATTGAACTAAAGCTAAAATATATATGGTTCGGTTCGTTTCTGGCAGAAATCACTGTACACGCATACGCCCACTTACATAATATATATATATACACCAGTGTATCTCTGTTTCTAATGGACAACAACAAATCTTGAGCAAAGTACAGCGAGATGTTAAAGCACGTCATCAAGTGCGTTGGAGGACAACAATTTGTGTGTAGTAAAAATGTTGTGTCCTCAATGCCAAAGGGTCAGCATGTGTTGTCCTTGCAGCATCATAACTGCAACAACAACAACAACAACAACAACAACAACAACAACAACTACAATATATTTAGCAAGAAGGAGGACCAACGAATGCAATTGAACATTATCGACTGCCCCATGCTCGTTCACGTATATAAAATAAATATAGTTGTCCTTCGGTTTATCATATACGAGCTCTAAGGATGCATGCTAACAATCGCTAATAAACCTCATAACAAATGTAATTTCCTCACACGACCAGCAAGACGGATCCATATACCCACATTATACGTATTAGAAGTTATGCTATTAGTTTTGGCCGACAATGAAGCTGCGTAACTTTGACGCCGACTGCGGGACTGCCACTAAACAATTTGCCAGACATTTTGGCAACAGATGTACAAAAAGAACAGAAGAAAATTCTTGCTGCAAATGCATGGATATTATTGATTGGATAAAACAATAAATAAAATTGCCGAATCAAGGCTGAGGCCCATTAAAGCGACTGCGTAGATAAATTTTTTTATATACACTTAAATTAATTTAAGAAATGCTCAAGTTTACAAACTACAATTCTCAAAATATTTTCTGTTCTAAATTAATTCAATTAAATACGAATAAAAAACATTAAATAAAAAAATAAATAAATATATATATATATATATATGGCATGATTCGAAATTCTGCAAAATAAATAAATAATAGTAACCTATGCATGAAAATGTTAAGCAACTGCTCAAGTTCCATTAGGAGCTGGAAAGATCCCAAGTTAAATATGTATATTGGTCGAGCTGCTGAAAAATGCCCAATCAAGGACCGAGAATATTCATAAAACGATCTGCAAATTTCAGTAGAATACTTGTATAATTATGAAATACACAGACAAATATGGATTACATACTTAAAGTAGACAAGATGGAAGATATATTTAAACATAGACTGTTAGGCTGATGGATAATGTTATTAGGTTTTTGAAATTATTCTTTCTGGATGAATGCATGCTGATGGAATGCACGGCCTCAGTGCCGCAGCAAGCAGCCGAGAGAGGCGGCCAGGCAAAGACTTGTGGTCAGGAAGGAAGCGGGACTGGCTAACGCCGGCGCTGCATTGCAGCCATCCTCGCTGCAGGTGCAAATGGTCTGCTTGTAGCCCTCGTTGTCAGCCGTGAAGCAGGCGTTATGCGTTTTCTCCTGTATCCAGCCGCAGCTACGCTCGATGCGCCGCTCCTCATTCACATCCAGATGAATGATCGTCTTGCGGCAGAATGCCTGCTCATCCCCCTTGGGCGCACAGTCCCTCAAGTATTGATCGTCCCGCTGGGCGCGTGGCGTATTCACCACGAGGCTGACGCAGTCCTCATTATCATGTGAGTTGCACTGGTGGCAGCGCAGGCCAGAAACTGAAAATGTAAATATGGATGATATGAGCAACCAGTAGTGACTAGAAATGAATAAAAGAAGCTTATGCGACGGATGTGAACGACTGCATAATGCCCGCCCATATAGTAATCAGAGTCTGTCTTAGACTTTTAGATATTTACTTAAAGTGGAAGCCAGAGATTCAAGAGATAAAACTCAAACGGCGGATAGTCGATTACCAAATACTCGTTCACACTTCAAACGAGGACCGGACAGCCAAGCAAGTTGATTAAGACATATTGATTTAGAGTAAATATATACTAAATAAGTTGTAGAAATTAATCTAGAGAAAAAATATGGGGTGGGTGTAACAAAGCGCTTAATAGTCGTTCATAGATCAGGGCTTCTAAAAAAGGTGAGCGACTTCAATCGAATATCGAACTAATCGAAAATCATCTGAGATTGCCGATTAGAATAATAATTATTTCAATCAGTTTGCAGCGGAAAAATCCAGTCTTTGCGCTCTCAACAAATATACAAATATATAAATATATATTTGATTGCTCTGCAACTGGATTTGCCTTGCAGCCTTGATTAGAATAGAAAAGCAATTTGTCAGCGATACTTCAACGCGCATATAGAGTAGACCTTTTGAATGGCATGCCAAATGCACCGCCCTTTTCACATGGCCAGACATTTTGACAGCAAATTATTTTATTAGTCCGCCAAAATAACTGAGCCACCTGACTGACTGACTGGCTAACTCCCGAGGCCTGTTCTGTCCTGTTCTGTCCTGTCTTGAGCTGAACCTACTGAAGACTTGGCTAAATAATTGCATGTCAACTCCGAGCACTTCTTGTTGAGTTTCTTATTCTGTTGCTATTACCTCTGACACGCAACAGAGTACAAAAACTTAAGCCAAACAGAAGATGGCATAGGTATCGACCTTTGGATACCCTAGCTTAATATTTATCACAATTTAACCGAATTAATTTTATTTTTTAGTTAGCTTTGAGATCAATTGTTTTTAACTACTTTTAAAATGTTTGCGATGTCGTTCCATGAACGCTCTTTAGGGGTATCTCTCATTAGCTCTTAAATTCTCTCTTTGCTCTCTTTCTTTCTTTCGCTCTCTTTCTAGTCTCGTGTAATCAATCGCCCATTCACTCACTTTCTCCCTCCCTCTAGCTCTATCTATCTCTATCCTCCTTTCAAAATAATATTCCTTTCTTTATATATATTTTCCTCCATCTCGATTTTCGTAGACGCTAAAGGACTCTTTTAACGAATATCAAGTTACATCAAGAGACTTGACTTTTGGATTAATGCCGTTTAACTTGGCGTATGCGCAACTTTTTGTTGCTTCTTACTTTGTTGGTAACATGAAATCCCTGACTTTTGGCCTATGCATCGCCGCTGTGGCCGACCCTTTGGTAATTAAGCCGAGCTAATAAAAACCAGTTGCCATAAAAAAGCAAGAGATTAAAAGCAGTGAAAGAATACAGAACTTTGCATTTTAATGTTGGATTTGTAATATTAGATTCGAGATATCGTATCTGATATTTGCATTTTACATTGCACCTTGCGGCTTGCGGTCAACTTAAGCTTGAACTTGTAGCGCAGTGCTTGACAATAATGCGCCAATGAAACGCGTAGCACCCATATAACACAAAAAATAAGCCCTCTAAATACTCAGTCAGTATATAGAACTATAAACATATATACACGTACATATTTATATACTTAAAGATGTATAAAAGTTTCTTATTTGCGCAGCTGATTAACACTAAAGAGCTTTAATGACTTAACATCCTCAACTGTGCTGGAATGTTGTGTGGGGGAAGTTACATTTAAGTGGTTCACAACGAAGAAGCAAAATACAAAAACTCCATCCAATTGAGCGCCATGCCTGATCTACTGTGTTTATATGTATATATAGCTATGTATATGCAGGCAGGAAATACCAAACATTGCGTTTAAGTATATTTTATTTTTGTATTTTGAGCTATGTTCAATTTTAAATATGTATTTTGTATAAACCTTGATACTACTTCTATTTCACAATAGAATAGATAATTTATAATTTTTTACAGAGTTTGAAATATCTATAGTCTTACAATTTCATTTACTAATATTGATACTACTTTACTTTCACAATAGAATAGATAATGTATAATTTCTTACAGGGTATAAAATATCTATAGTGTTTCAATTGCATTTACTAATAATCGAAGAAATTCTTGAAAGCTATTTTTCATGTTTTTCCATTTTACTAATAAACTTAAAAGAATATACGTATTGCATCAATTGTACAGGGTAATTTCAAATTTTAAAATTAGTTACAATTTGTTACCGGGTATCTAGCAGCCTAATAATCAATCTCATTAATCAAACAATTCACTTGCTAACACCTGTTCGGGTGTCTATTTTCCCGTTACTCATGTCACATCCAAATGATAAACACCAAAATCAATTCTTATCAATTTAATTAATTATAAAAGAAAATAAAATAAAAAAAAATTCTTTGTATACCCTATCTATTATCTAATGAAGAGTGTTGCGAGCGTTCCACATGAATGAATTTAATTGAAAAGCCGAAAAACTAGACAATCACCTGGCTGAATCAATTAAATAATGATTGAATTAATTAAACAGCAAGCCCAATATTAGATGAATGAAAGACGATACTCATTACGAGCTTAAACTGCATATGATTACACTAATTATACTGATTTGCCCAGCTTAATTAGGGATTGATTAAATAGCTGATTTATTAGCGATCAGCACCTGTTTCAAGACTTAACAATGTGATCAAATCGAAATATACGATTGAAACTCTTTTTTTTAAATCGAAAAAGTGGAAACCCTGTGTTATATTACTCTTAGTTTCATGTTTATAATCCTAGTAATATTCTCTGTAATTACAAGAGCACACAAGTATAAATCATTTACCTGATAAGAGATTAGCAATAAGAGCGATTATCACGATGTAGGCGAGCGTCTGCGACATCTTTGCTGTTGTTGTTGTTGTCTGTGTTTCTAGGCAGCTGACTCCTCTCCGGCGAAGTTGTTCCACAACTAAGTGAATAAAAGCGTCTGTAGTATGATCTTGACTCTGTAAAGTCGTTAGCTTTATCTTTAGATTATCTAAAATGCAAAGTAAGCAACATGTGTAAAAAACAAAATAGAAACTATTATGAGCAAAATAACCAAATGTACTTAGCTTAAAAATACCCTGTACGTATTTAGAAGAAATAAAATACATATATCATTAACAAAAGGTAAACCTTAGATGTCTACCAGGTATTTATAGTTACGAAAGGAAAATTGAATATTTGACTTGAGGATAGCCTTAAAGAGTTGATAATTGCAATAAAATAAAAGGGGAATATAAGAGATAACCGTGATTAAAATAATAACTTTTGAAAAATGCACAAATATTGCGATACTTTTTAAACCCACCTCGTGGGTCAATTCACTCAATATACCCTTTTTATTAACTTTGAATTAGGTAAAGCGTATAATTGAATATGAATATATTTACGGATTTATTTTACAATCTGGTTTTTGTTGTTCGTCTAACAGTTGATTAGCATACGGTGTTATGCATTTGAATTAGCAAGACTGTATTTGCTTAGAAATATATTGAAGATAAACTGTTAAGCATTCTTAAACATTCATTTTCTATTCAGATTTTATTAGCATTATTAACATTTTATACGATACACTTTGCACTCAATTAAAAAGCGAATTTATGTATATGAAGCTTTTCAAACACAAATTGAAAACTCACAATATTTTAATATTTAACAAATAATAGTTGTTAAGTCACGAGTTGAACAACTTGACGCGCTCAACGTCCAGATGAATCTGAAAACTTGCGTTGAGTTTTTCAAAACAAAATGATTTGAAAAACGCGAACACGAGAAGGTACGAAGAATCAGACAGCAGCCAGCAGCGAAGAGAGTGTGAGAGAGAAGGCCGCTGAGATTAACTTGCGTGTGAATGCATGCATGTATATGGGCATGCATATGTTATACGTGTGTGTGTGTCTGTAAGAGAGCAACATTGAATGACAACAGCAGCAACAGTAGCAGCAGCAGCAGCATTCATGAGTAAGGGCAGCTGAAGAGTGCAGCAATAGTCGTAAGAAGCAAGCGAAAAACTTCCGTTACTTGATCGCAGTTGAGCTTGGTCCAGGGAAGGCATGAGACGAGGCATGAGCATTGGCCGTGAAGGTTGCCCATCGGCGTGCATTGATAACGCGCTGTGGATTCGATGCATGCTCGAATTTCGCTCTTACCGAAAAATAAGTCAAATGAAGCGCGCGTTTTTTTTCGAACTAAGAGCCGCTTTCAACCGGTAACTATCAAACTATGACGTCACAATGAGGCTAAGAGAAGCGTCCGATGCTCGCAATACGTGCTGTACACGTGCCAAATTATTTATATTTGCCCACACTACTTATTTATTTGTGTAATGCAAATGTTAAATAAATAAAAATATATTACACGCATTCTTGATTCAAACTATCGACAATCCATCCACCTGTTGGTCGCGTGGGAGTTAATTATATACATATGATAGAGAGTTGTATATGGTCTAGGGTATTAAAGCATCACATAAGATAATTACCCGATGTTATATACTTATAATTTGTTTCTTTTAAGTAATCATATATACATTGTTTAATGATGTTATTGACTGTGTTCGTTGTCTGACTTGATTTGCTTTCTGTGATTTGAGTTCCGGATGATACGGAGAACGCACAACTAAACAGTTTTATTTGTCTTATCAGTGGTGTGTTTAGCTAAAACTGGTATATGGCTACCAAAACTCAACCACTGTGGTTTCATCCAGCTTAAGATCGAGGCCAGCTTGACCAAGTATCTCGGCTTACAGAGACCAACAATTCACACCGGGCAGCTTATCAAGCGAAGTTCAGAGCATTTCAAATTTCATATTTGTCTTATTTTATTTTGATTATTTAATTTTTTTTTTTATGAAATACACGTTTACGTATATACAGTTACTTTGATATATCTTTATGTAATGTTTTTCATTGYTTACTTGTTGATTTTTTTTTTTTTTTTTAATTTTTTTTGTATTTTTTTTTTTATTTTGTGCATAGCTAATGGAATTTTTCTGAATACAATCACTGCTTAAAACTGGTTCAAAGCAGATCCCGCCGAAATGTCGTTTTCATTGAGGTGTTAGTTTACCATTTTCCGTGATATATGGATATACATTAAAACAAAAACTGTTTAAGAATTAAAATATTAAATTTGTTCAACAAAATACAATTGTTAAATATTTGTACGTCAAAAACATTGTTTTTATAATTCTGTATATAATTCTTTTAAAATAGTACATTAATATTTTCTCTTATTTAATATTGGGTTTATAGCAATGAATTGAAATTAAAGACTTTTCCAAGACTTGTCTAATATATACTTCTAAAATTTATATACTCAAAAATTATTAAACTCACGGCTGTATTATTTTTTTGATAATCCTTAAATCCACATACATATCAATTTTTATATTTATTTGTGTGCTTATATTGAGGTGTTTTTATACCGATTTGCTTGGCGTGTTGAAGAGCAACTGAGTCCAGGAGTTGGCTCATTGAGGTGTTCAAAATAAACATTTCTGTATTTGTCAGCATTTGGCAACTGAAATTGCCGCTCAGCGTAAACAGCTGATCTTTCAGATTTCCATACATATACACAGACACACACTCAGTCACTCTCAACAGCTTCAGTTAATGCTCACACACTCTCAAACATATTTTCGATACGTGCTTATATTTGTGCTTGTAATTGTGCTTGGTTTGTTTGTTCAAACCGGTTTGGTTTGATTTGATTTAGTATGTCTGCGAGCCCGTCTCATTGTCGCCGTCACACAAACACGCCACCGCCCACCCCCTCCCATTAGTTTCCTCCACCCCATATTGCCGCAACATCTCAGCATTATTTTCAACATGCTCTTAATGCTGCGTGACGCAATGCTTTGAAGATTAACTGCAAAAATTTCGTCTCTTTGCATTAATAAACGACGAGATTTWCTGTGCCAACAACAACAAAAACAGCAGCAAGTGGACAGTATATGTATATACATACATATGTCTGCCCAAATGGGTTCAATGAGCTGTCGAAAATAATGGGAATTTTAGTCTAGCTATGCACACGTAAGGAACCAGTATTTCACATTGGCTGTCCGTGAAGAGCTTTTAGCTGAAAACACCACAACGTTAGCTTAAAAGCTGTGCATTGGAAGCTTATGAGGCCACACGCGGCGTATGCTTAACGCACGTAAGCTGAGACTACAGTAAAATCTCTGTAGACGAACAACTAATTTTAACTTATAACAAATGAACTTGAAAAACTTTAAATTGGCATTTAACATTTGAATATATGTATGAGTTTTGTAACTGTTCTACCTAAGGAGGCTTTACTGTACACATCTCTTTTGTCATACGTTTTCATTATGCGAACTTCATCCCTAGAGTGGCCAGGTCTATTTATAGGCCTAACATCTAAATGAAAGTGGTAATGAAAACAATTGATATGTAGACAGATGTGCGACAGAGATGCAAAATATGCGGACTTCAGAGTGTAAGCGAGATAGCTGCCTAAAAGGGCAAGGTACTGCGAATGATACAGATGCAGATGCAGATTGAAATTGAGAGTGGAATTGAAATTGAAATTTGGATTGGAAGAGCTCTGTCATTTTAAAAGCAACGCACGCTCACAAAAAAAGAAAAGAAATGTGTATAAAATAAGATAGCTCAATTGGACGGCAACTCAAATGACTTGATATGTGGATAAGCAAAGGAAACTTACGATTAAGCTTAATTAATATGTGGGGCCAATTTGTGCCTCCAGCAAATACTGGAATTACTCAAGGCAGGCGAATAGAGTATGGAATATTTTTAAGGTGGGGCTTCAATTAAATATATTCTTGATAAATATTGGAGAATTACAAAAATTGCTTTAAGCRTTGAGGCTGTATATAAAATATATAACAAAATAAAATTGTATATGTTATATAAAATACATTTAAAAAATAAATAAAGTAAAACTGAAACAAAATAATCAACAAATTAATTTAATCATTATTGATTAACTGACAGTTTTGTGATTGGCAACCCTTATTTTCTCATCGTTTCCTGCGATTAACAATCTGGCAGCGCCTGCACGATTCCTGCAAGACGAGTGCGCGGGGATTGAATAGCAGAGACGCTTGTGTCTCTTGCTCTCGCGCTCGCTCTCTAAAGCTCAAGCTAAAGCTTGCCGGGCATTAGCCGCTGAATGGGCTACGATTTACAGTGGGCCAAATCAACTCAATTATGTAAATAATCTAATCGGGCAAATCCCTAGCAAGTGGTAATTGCAGAAACAGCTGTTAAATGCAGCGCCTACTGTTAACAATTTTTGATTACAACATGGTCAAGTTATTCGCCCTAACTTGACAGCTCAAATGAAATATAACATTCTCTTATCTGTAACATTATGACACCTAACAACCCTACTGTTAACAGCATTTATGTTGTCAATTTGACCTGTTAATGTTAACCAAAAGTTCTCAAGCTTCAAGCACTTGCTATGCTAACGAGTTTTTCCCAAAAGATTGTTATGAATGACCCATTGTACTGACGCTGCAGCTCTGCAGCCCTGTGCCTGTGGCTATCTGACCGACTTGCTCATCTGCTCATTCGTGCCACATTTGTCGGGCAAGCTGCGTCTTTCAGTTCCAGTCGCTTGTTGTCGCTTCGACGTTCTTGTTCTGTGACCGTGCGCCCTTCTTAAAAGTGTTGAAAATTTATTAAAAAAAAAAAAACATACACTTAGAAAAAAATAAAAATAAAATAAGAAGATAACTGCCGAAAAGGCATACCGAAAATCGCACTAGCAAATAGAAGTTTAAAAAAATCTAACCAAATTTTCGGCGTGTGTTTCATATTATTCAATAAAAATAAATATGCAGTACCTCTATGTGATTAGCGCGCTAATTTTGGCAATTGCCGTGCAGCAAGGTAAACCCCTAACAGAGCTCCCTCCATATACACCCTAACACACACACAGCCAAGCTCCAATTTCAAGCTCAACTAAAAATAAGATGAACAAAAATATAGGGGAATTCGTCTGTACGATTTTGACGATTACATAATGCGTGCGCGATGGAAGTGGAAGTAGGGGTTGCAGAGTCAAAGTCAGAATACGGTTAAGCGGCAGAGCGACCGTGCGGGCTATCAGGAGAGGGGGCGTGAGAAAGATATATATATATATATATATAGAGAGAGAGAGAGAGAGAGGGAAAGCTAGACGCCTTGACGCCGCCTTGGAAGCCGGTCGCAATGGCGCCTTTTTAGACCACAAATCCAGCTGGCAAACTGACAATTGCAGTTTCCCAAACTGTTAACACCCATACCGAAAGGATAATCAATCGAATACAGTAAAAACTAATTGTAACGTACATCCACTAGAATTGTTTTTCCAAGCTAATGACCAAGAAAAACTACTCTAACAATAAATAACACCACTAAAAGTGTTGGGTAAAACTCAAAAGTATCTTAGCATAGCTGTCCTTGACTGGAGTCCTCACTATACTGCCTCCTCTACTAACAGTTAATAACTAGTTTTATCCGTTGCTCATTATCGCATTTCATATCATAAAAAAAAGAAATGAAATCTTTTCAGTCACATCTTAATCTGTCCTTTCCTTCCTTCTCTTAACTGGATGAAATGTGTGCAAGCGTTTGTGCGTGTGTGTGTGTGGGTGTGTACATGTGTGCGTGTGTGTATGGGAACGCAGGACATGCGCAGTCATGCGCTCTATTTGCCAGCCTGTCACTCGGTTAGCAGGCCTGGGAAGCTACTGCAACAAGACCCTCTTTTAACTCCCTATCTCTGCCCACCTCCCATTACGCCTAGAAGTCCTCAAATTGACTCACTTATATAGAAGAGAACTAATGTCGGCTGTAGCCGACTCTGTTATGCTCGCTTTGCATTTGAGAATTTTCTTCAATTTATTAAAAAATATATATTATTCATATTTTTTATGTTTATAAATATATCTTAGTTATTCTCGACATAAGGATATATAAGTAGTAAAGTATTTTGCTATTTGAGAATAGATTTCAAGACTATTTTCCTTCGATTCTTAAAATCGTCATATACTCTGCTCACTTTCTGAACGAGCATCGAAAGTCATATCAAATTAAAACAATGATTATATATTCTATTGAAAGTTTTATAGTTAATATACGTACGTTATATACACACGATATATGTAGGTATAGATACATATGAAAATACATTATAAATTTCATTTTATAGTATATCAATAAAGACCGTAAACAATCAATGCAATCTATATTGATTGACTACAATAAACTATATTATATTGAAATCGTATAAACAATATAAATTTTTTGAAAAGTTCGAAAATATTATACATTAATTTATTCGAAGGAAAATAATAATAATATTTATTATGTATAGTTAGCTATATAAATTTCAAATAATAAAAAAGAAAAAAGAATTATTTATTATTTTTTATCATTAATACATTATAATATACTCCATACCAAAATAAATTTGGTGTAATTATTATTATTTATTTATTTATTAATCGTTTCGTTATAATTGCCATGCAGGTTTTAGTTATAGATACAATACATCATAAATTCCATCAATACTATATATAACTACAATATCTTCACGAACTATTTGCTTTTACTCCGATGAGCACATCAAATATACTATCTATATATATACATATATATATGTATGTAAGGAGCTGCAAAGAGTTATGCTTTGTCTTGACTAGACTTCGTGGAATTTTATGAACTACTTTTTCGTGTCCATTGTTTGATGAGCCACTCAAAAAGAAAAAAAAAAAAAAAAAAAAAAAAAAAAAAAAAAAAAAAAAAAAAAAAAAAAAAAAAAAAAAAAAAAAAAAAAAAAAAAAAAAAAAAAACAAAAACAAAAACAAAAACTACACAATGGGTAGCACTTACTTTTGTCTGACTTATGTAACCCATTTAGGGGTTGAGAGAGGAAGCGCAAGAAAGAGAGACTCGAAAAAATGCACAAGTTATGAAAGTCCATTAACATGAAACTGATGAAGCTGTTGGAGATTCTAATTCTAATTAGCAACTGGCTCTCAAGAGCTTAACGACCAACCACTAATGGAGACGCCTCTCAGCCCCCGCCTATGGGTTGCATGCAACGTGTCAGTTTTTTAGCATTCGCATTGCATCATAGAACGCGTCTATGTATTACTATCATATCATATATATAGGCAGATACATATGTACATACATATGTAAACGCATCATACATATGTTTGTATGTTCTGATTCTTTGTGGACAAAAACTAATCGTATAATACGAATCGCTACACGAGATGTGACGACCTTAAATTCAATTTAGCTAAGTCAACGTCTCAATCTACAGTTTTCAGCTTAGATTTATTTACACTTGGTCACTTTTTTTGTTTTGTTCAACAATTGAGGTTAGGCATAAGTGAGTGGATCCAACTTGATTGCAGATAGAAACATTTCCTAATGGGGATTGGCTTAATGCGGTTTTGTATTCAATTCAATGAGAATTGCACTGAGAGAGAGTGTGTGTTAGAAAGAGAGATACAGAGACAGATAGTGTGAGAGAGAGAGAGAGAGAGAGAGAGAAAAGCTAAAAAGAAGGAGACAGAGACGGAGTAGATATAAAGCGAGACCGAGGAAGAGCAAAAGGAAGACAGCGAGTGGAGAGAGATATAGAGAGGGAGAGCGATGTATGCAGCAGCTGCAGCAGCAATTAATATGAGTAATTAAAAATTGACAGAAATAACCCAATGTCTAATTCTCTACCTTCTGCAATGCAGTAACCACTTGAACCAGTTCAAAACGACTTCGCTTATGATGGTAGTAATCATTGTACATATATTCCTTTGCTTGCAGGCGTTGCCATCAAGTGTTTCGTGTGCAACAGCCACAAAGACGCCAACTGTGCACTGGACATACCGCCAGACAACTTGCTGAAGGACTGCCAAGAGGATTACTCATCGCGCGATCGTGGCATACCCACCTATTGTCGCAAGATTACACAGATCATTGAGTTTTCTGTGAATAGCCGTGAGTGGAAGTTTGTGTAAAGTATAAGAATCTGAAAGTTTAGTGAGATTTGGTTGTCATTGCAGTGCCTCCAGATAGCCGTGTGATACGTACTTGCGGTTTCCAGAATCAAACATCGACCAATTATTGCTATCAGCGTGCCGGCTTTGGCGGCCGTCAGGTTGTCTGCTCCTGTGATACGGACAATTGCAATGGATCCGCCACACTGAGCGGCATCTCTGGCCTAGGTCTACTGGCCACCGTTGGCCTGCTCCTGGGCGTCTGCAAGTGGCTGCAGCGTTAATCCGTTTTCGTTTAGCAATTGTCTTTCTATCTCTTTGATTATCATTTTGTTTTCAAACCAAACCTATTGAGTTCTGTGTCAGCTATAATCATCCGAAAAAAAAGAAACCACGCCCAGCTGCTTCAAATTCGGGTAAGTACATAGTTATAAAGCTGACCTAGTCAAAAGCTAACTGAAGAACATTTATTTTCTAGCTTCGTTCCGAAAATAAATATATTCTATTTATTTACCTCTCAATGTCCTATGGCAAAAGCTTTATTATAAAACAAAAAAAAATGATTGAACACTCTTTGATTGTATATAAAAAAACAAAATAATTAAAAATTGGCCAATAAATTAAAAAAAAAAAAAATAATATAAATGCGAATTTTGAAAACCAAGGTATTAAACATTTAAAATAAAATAAATAAAAACAAAAACCTACCGCAGTTTAAAATAAAAAGTATTCAAATCCCACAATAAAAATACAAAATATAAAATTGTTATAATTAAGGCTAAAAATATATTAAAAACGAAAAAAATGAAATTTAAACAAACTTAGTAGTACATACATAAAAAGAATAATAATAATAAATGTTAACACCTCTTTGTCTGAGTTTCCCTTTTTTTATTTTCATATGAAAATTTTCTAAAAAATGGAAAAGAAACAGAAATAAATGCAAATAATAACAGAGTCCAGTTTTAGACGTCTAGGCTAAGCTAAGCCCGCTTTATGGAACCCAAACAAAGAAATGGAATCTAGAAAAACAACAACACACTCGTAACCAACTGCCAACAAAAAAATAAAAATTAAAAAAATATA